GGGCTATTTGTCAAATAGTTAAGTCTTTAGTCCATGAGGGATTGACAGGCGGGCTAACTATCTAGCCGGCTAGCCTCCGTTTCAATTTGGCTTCCACCTTGCCTTGGCTGCAAAACCCAGTCCAGACTCAAACCGCGACTCTATGAAATTGTGTGAATATTTCACGTCTGTGACGTGCCTGCCACGTAAACAAGCCGCTTAGTTGTACAGTTTCTGCAATTGCAGCCACTTTTTTCCAGGTGCTGGCAAATATTTGAAATATTTTCGCTAAATACAGGCAAATTGCCAGAGCAAGGAGTGTATTTTTGGAAGTTAAATATAGTTTATGTTAAGCAAAGAAAAATTCTCCAAACTCCCCTAATTCTAAAAGTGGTTTAATAAATTACAAATTTAATTTTTTATCAATTCTAAAATGTGCCCATATTAAACAAGCTTATATACTAGCAATTTCAAACCTCTTACACTTTGTTTTTGAAGTTGTGAAATATTTCTGGCTTTCACTACACATCTGCCATTTACATAAGTCCCACTTAACTTGGTCTGTTAATGTAGAACCTATTTGAAAAACTATAAGAAAAACTGGGCCATTAAAAAATTTAAAGACTTTAACCTACTTTTAACTGAGCGTTCAATACCTGAACGAAAAAGAACAAAAAGAAAAGTAATAGAAAATAGAAAATAGAAGAGAAAAAAAGGAAAACTTATCTTAGAACACAATGAGCTACTGACGAGCTCAACAGTTATAATTGTTTGCACAAGGCACATACTAAGTGAACTGCCGGCGGAAACTGGCTTCGAAAAAGGTGCCAAAACTCAAGTACTGCCAACTACCAAATGCAATGAGGAAGGTCAGTGTGCGGTTAATTACCGAAACGAACCGAACCTAACCGAGCCAAACTGAACCCAAAAAAATGGAACGACGAAACGCCCGCAGTCTATTCAAAACTGGCAAAAATTTTATACAAATTGGTTATCATGTAAGAACTATTTAAAGGGGTAAATATATAAATGTAATATAAATCGCATATAAATATTTTCGTTCTTAAAGCCTTCAATCAAAAAAGCTTAGGATATAGAAGGAAATATAGCTTATGATACCTTTCTCCCTAAAAATTTTCTAGCAATATACATTTCGTAAGGATTTTTATTGAATTTAGTATATGGCTTTAAGCACAACGTTTTTACAAATTGTATTACCAGCTTTAAATTAACAACAGTGCCTGTTATATTTCTAAAATATGATTTTTACAACAGTACATAATTTAATATAATTACTGTTTTTCCAGTGCACCCAAAGATTTTAAATCCTAGTCGAAGTTGAAGGCGACGTCGAAGTAAAGTTAATGTCGAGGTGGGAGCAACAGTTAGCATTCCGTCAGTGCAAGTGGCACAGCAACAGATGGCCAAGTGTCTGGGCTAACTGTTTCCCGCCGTTTTTACGATGGTCAAGTACCGATGATATGTGGGCAGTTTGGGGGTATTTGGGGAAAGGCGGTGTTGGGCGAGGGCGTGGCCAAACATTGACAAATCATCTTGACACCTTCAGAATGTCATAAAAATGGGTTACGGACATGATTTGCAATGCAATAAACTTAATTGAGTGCGCGTCAGTTTTTAATTTTAACCCGAACCCCCGAACCGAAACCGGTTCGCACCTCTCACAATCGGAATTCCCACCCATCGGATCGTATATAGAATGCACAAAAAATTTCTACAACAGTATATCTCGGAATAAGAGCCAAAAGAACGAGCTGGTTCTAAGGCGCGAAGTCGTAAAACGTTTTTCGTTTTGATGCCGTCATGGTTCCCTTTCGATATTCGCTTTTAACGATGCCATTAAAATCTCAGACATTGTTGTCGATATGTAGAAGACAGATTCGTTTTTGGTATTTAGTTATTGCATTATAAAAACAAAATCGTGTTAAAATTTCGTCGCCGTTTAAATGGCGCCAAATTGTTAACAAGCGTCGCATATTTCTTTTGGTCATCATTAACTCGGTTTTTGTGAGTTTAGTGGTTTGCTATAAATATCATTATAATGGCCATAAATCGGATTTGTTTTACGATCCAAGTGTTTACAGTTTTGGCAAATGTATCGGCTTTAGTCACCTGCAAAACAAAGGGGGCGTTTCTTTGAAGACCTAAGTCAGTGATTTATAATTAAATTCAAAAAAACCGATTAATAAATAATCTAATCATACTAAAAAGCAAGTTTGCAACGATAATAATAAAACATTTACTTGGATCTACACTATCCATTAATATCATAGTCTCTTTATTTAAAACGGACTTCATTATCGTGTAAACCAACAAGTTACCGCAAATTGTTTTCTCATATCCCAATCAACTGCCTTAAATGCAACTTTTCCTTTATGCAAATTTATTTAATTTGCAACAATTAAATTAAGATGCTAACTAATCTCGCGTAATTGCCGCCCGTCGTCAATGTTGGCTTAATCTCCGCTTAAGCTGCACTTGAAAAATGGTTAAAAAATCAACATGAATATGAATGTCTTTGGGAGTGGGTAAGGGTATAGTGTCGGCCAGACTGCTCAGGCATTTCCGTCACTTAAGCCTTGGCTTAAACTGTTTCTTCATTAGAATAAGTGTCATAAAAATAAACGCATAAAAACATCTCTCCGATACCCGGCCATAAGCGGATCTAATCATTTTCCCATAAACAGCCGGCGATGCTCAACTAAAATCTGCTTAAATTTCACCTGACACGCTAATTTGGCTAATAAACATTCGACAACAAAAATTTGAGCTGAGAAAAAAATTTGACCACAAAATTCAAATGAAATTTCGAAGGCGCCAAGCCGAAAATAAACACAAAAAAACTAGATGTTTATACAAAAAAGTAATAAAATGATATACAATGTATACAAATATATATCTACCGACATTCCCAACCGACTTTGTTCAAGTTGTTCTTGCACTTGTGCTTAGGCGATAAATTCAACCTAAAACCAGTGAGCTTTTTGCCGTTGAGTTATTTTGACGCCAAACCGAGACGTATTCTAATGCAAATTTCGAATTTTATTTGTTTGGGTTTTTGATATTTCCTTCACTTCCTTCCCCACCAACCAAAAAAAAAAAAAACCTGCTCATCCCCCAAGGGGAAGGTGTAACATTTAAGTGCCAAACAAAGCATTGAAGTTATGCGAAGGGAGGGACAGTCACATCTTTAAAGTTTCTGAGAAAAAAGTGAAAAATCTTGTTGCGGAAATAGTATTGGAAGAAAAAGTTCCGGGATAAGTGCGAATAAATGTTTTTAAAATGTTCTATTAATTACAAAAAAATAAATGTAATATTTAAATAAGTTTGACTTACTTGTTGCTCACTATATTTTATATATAAGTATATATATATATATGTTTTAGGTAATAATTATTTAAAACAACCTACAATCTAGTCTCTAAAATCGTTCTGACGTAGTTTAGTTTAAGATTCAAACGATTTATAACTGTTTTTTTTTTCATTTTCCTAATATTATCAGCTTTAAATCCCCAAATATAGTCTCATAATAATTGATTAAAATTATATTAACCATACACCTAAGTATTTGTATATTTCTTACTGTTTATATCTAAAATTCTAGACTCTGACCCATGCCCTTGGATTAAAAAAATATATATCCAATGACAAAATCCCAATGCTCATAAACCAAAGATTCTATCATCGGTTCTACGACTAAAAACCCAAAACCGTGAGAGCATCTCGATAGCCTCGTAGACAGATCGCAGAGCGCCTTACAAAAGTGGCAAGTGCTTTGCGTATTTAAATTTATTGCTTAACAAATTTATTTTTTGTTAAACAAATTTATAAATTATTGCTGCCAGAGTATAATAAAATTTCATTAGCGGCATTTGCCGACTCTGAATATGTGAATATCGGTCTAAGGCGTTGGCGTGGCGCGTTTCGTTGCGAGCTTTTTTGATTTTTTTCTTGCTATTTATTTATTTTTTTTTTGTAATTTTCGCTTAGGGGCGCGATCACAGACACACGGCGCCAGTTGGCCAAGAGAGAGCTTTGTTTTGGCCAGAGCTGTCGGACTGGGCAGAGATTGGCTAGCTGGACACTTGATAAATCCGATGTGAGGCCCGAAAAGCTGGTCGAATTTGCATGTGTCGCTGCGAGACAGAAAACGCTGGTTAATTAATTTCAGACACGCCATACATCTCGGGTACTTTGCATAAATTAATATGAAATCTTTATTTATGATTTATGCGGTGTCAACATGGCCCGGACATCTATCAAAATAGATTCCACCGAACGCTGGAAATTACACACACAAAAGAAGATGTGATGGAAATATTCGAAAATCGCCCACGCGTTTTGCACGCGACTTTGTGGCGTCTGCGCGGCGACTTTTTGTCCCCCAGATCATAATTTATTGTTATCCGAACAGATTGAGGTCAGGCAGTCAGGAGATTTACACATTGTCACATTGTTGTTGATTCTTATCAATTGTTACACGATTTTCGAATTATGTTTTGATATTTTTCAGTCGCCTGTTTTTTACGATTTGCTGGAATGCGCATTTTGAATTGTTAAATTGGGTGACCACAAAAATGTATAAATGTTGCCAAAGATGTTTCCGGATTGCGAGATGATCTTGGGGAAATATTTTCATAGACCAGAGATGAAAGCTTTGTTTTTTGAAGGGAAAACCCGTTAATCATAAGTTCAAAAGAATTTATCTAGCTTTTTTTATTGCTATTTATTATAAAATACTTTTTTTAAACGGATTTCTGAAAGTATAAGTAATATAATACCAAACATTGTCATAATTTAATAAGAATAAAAAAGAAACAAAAGTTCAAGCCCCTCAGGAAACAGCAATATTATTTAGTTTACTTGTAGAAACGCTTTCTGGCAAGAAAATTTCCAGGATAATTTTCCACAGACTCCATTTCAGTATTTGATGAGAATTCTTTAGCCAAACCTGTGCTAAAAATGCTGAAAATGCTGAAAATGCTTCAAAAAAAAAACCCCACTCCTTTTCGAAATAAATACCGCATGTTTGTATTGTACTATATGTGTTTCATATTTATTATTTTGAATTCGTATCGTTTCATCGTCATTCGCAAATTGCTCATTGTAATTACTATTATGGTTATTATTTGTCAGCAGCCCATTATCATTATGATTCTGATTATTGTTAACAACATTAATATTTTCGTTAGGGATATCAATATTAGGTTGTTGCTGCTGCTGCTGTTGCTGCTGCTGCTGCACATGTTGCTGTTGCAGCTTTTGAAGGTTACGAAGAAGTTTCTTTAGAATCAGCTCTTCGTGCTCCCCATCGTTCGGATAGCTATCGTCGATTATATTATTAGCATCAATATGATTGCGATTCTGCACAACAGTTTCGGTTACTGTCTCCATCTCACCTTTTCCGGTCACTGATATCTCAACTTGTGTGGCAGTTGAAACAGGGTCAATTCGATCGTTTAATTGCTTAAGATTATTGTCAATATTCTGATTGAACGCGCTGTGGCTATGGCTATTGCTATGGCTATGGCTAGGGCTATGGCTATTTGGACTATCGAACTTAGTGCTATCTTCTAAACTACTAGAATCAGTCGTGCTACTTTTAGTATTCAAATTATAATGCTCGTTACTGTACAAGTAGTTGTAGTTTTTTGGCAAGGCAGGTATTGCATGATTAACATTAGCGCTATTACTATCAATTAGTAGGTTTAAGTTTACGTTTACGTTTAAGTTTAAGTTACTATTAACATAGGGTTTTGAGTATTCATTTTGTGGGCTATCCTGCTGTTGCTGTTGCTGTTGCGAGGGTAGTTCAACCAGTTGCATATCGGCATCGGGTGGACTGTTGCTGTTACCGTTGCCCCTTGTTGTTGCAGTTGCACTAGTTGTTGCTGTTGCCGTCGAACGTTTTCGCCTGTCCCGCTTGCGACGACTGGCGGCCATTATGGCCACCAGATTGAAGGCGCTGGGTGCCAACGAGGCGGCGGTGGCGGTCAAGGCCGTTGAGGTGGCCGTCGACGAGGAGGAGGACGAGGACGAGGCCGAGGAGGTGGCCTTGGGCAGGTGCTCCACCCGCTCCCTTTCCCGCTCCAATTCCCCCGCTTCCCGCTGCTTCTGCTCCCACAGCTCCCGCTGCAACTTGTGTTGCTGCCGCTCCAAACGGCGACGTCTACGACGTTCCATTATCGTGGCATTGTCGTGATGATGGCGAACCTCCAGATTTTTGGGCTGCGGTTGGGCCATCACACCCACTGTGCCACGTTGCCGATGGCGACGGCGATGGTGTTGTTGCTGCTGCTGCTTTTGCTGATGCTGCTGTTGCCGCTTCTTGGGTTGCAAGCGGCGATGTTGCAAGCGATTTCTTTGCAGGATCACCTGTTGTTGCTCCAAATCTACCTCATTATTGTTGTTGCTATTGGCTTGGTTGTAGGACTTAAGGCTATTGCTGTTGCTACCGCTGGTTTTTCCAGGGATATTGCTATCGCTATTAATACTTGTTGGGCGACGCGATTTTGAACGCGCGCGTTTTGTGACCGCCACTGGGCTTACTGTTGTTGTTGTTGTTGTGGTTTTTGTGGAGCTGATTTTGGTAGTACTGGGCGGTGTTGTTGTTGTAGTTGATGTGGTGGATGTTGTTGTTGTTGTTGTTGTTGTGGTAGTGGTGGCTTGCTTATTCTTAAGATCCAACAACTTTGCCAGTGTTTCGGGAATTTCCTCCTCACCCAAGCGATAGAAAAAGAATATGGCCTTATCCATCACACGCGGCTTGGCAAAATCCTTTAAGCCAACTGGCTTAAATTTGGCCTTAAAACCCACACGCAGCTTTGGTTTGTAATAGCTGGTGTAGTGGTAATAACCATTTATCATACCCTCTTTAAAGTGACAATCCTTTGTGGCGTTTCTCTATAGAATCAAAGAAAGAAAACAAAAAGCAGGGAAGAATCTAAAGTTAGTAAGGGTGTATTAAATTTCAATTTGATTGTTAATTATTGACTGCATTTTAGTTAAACTATTAATAATCTCTAAAGCAACTGCAGAAGATAATCAAAAATGGTTTTAACTATTAATAGCAATAAATCCCAAAGTATTTAAATTTACCCCTTTTTTCTGATAATCTTGTTTAGTCTTCTATTTACAATTGATTTAAAATAATTATGAACGAAAACTCACCTTTCCAACAAGTCTGCCTTGATGGAAGCACAGATAGTAGTCTACATCCGCCGCATAGATGGTTAATTTGAAATCCAGGCTCAGCACATCGTTGACACCTTCCATCGTGAAGTACTCTGAAAAGAGACATAACAAAATCCAAAATTTAATTAATTATTGGCAAACAAACACACGAGACCAACACGACTATTGTGTAAATATTAAATGGAACTGAACTGGGACCACTTCAAGCGCATACAGATAACCCAATTAATTGAAAGGTTTTTGATAAAGTTATGAAGGGGCTTTCGATTAGAATGAAACTATGTGCCTTTTTTCGTGGAGCATTTAATGAAATCAATAAATCGACTAAGTCAATTACTGGCGCTGAGTCGTTGAACTCCCTCTCTGAACGAAAGGGGTTTAACCCTGAAAAACTACGCCTAAGCCTGATAATTCCGAACGATTTGGCTAGGGTTACGGTTTGGATTTGGGTCTTGGGGGAAGACCTTCGAAGACCCAGCATATCGATCAAATTGCCCCAGCAGCACCTGCCCACCGATAAGATAAAATGCCAAGCTGACAAACTTCTTTCCGTTTCGGAATTGTACCTTAAATTACGCATATAGAGGTAGTGGATTGGTAAAAGTCTCCCTTTTTGACATATCAGTGACGCAAGTCGGCGCCTGATCTTGTCACTTTCGCTCAGCCATCAACCCACAATCGAGCGAGGGCTGCTCCTGAACTTCAGAACTCCAGAGGCTTGGAAACCGCAGCAAATGAATTTCGAATAAATTAAGAGCGGCCGGACAAACAAAAGCAATGGGCGGCGCTCGGCGCGGTTCATAACATCAATCAAATATTAAATTACCAATAATTTAATTAAGCACACAATATGCACAGCCACAGACGAAGACCCAGACCCAGACAGAGTTCAAAATGTACAGGCCAAATTGGCTAGCTTGGACTTTATTAAATGACTTTTATATAATTCGCGATAAAAATTGAATAAAAGATAGAAATAACCATCGCAATTTTGTGGACTACATTTTTCCCAAATTTTTTAACAGATTTTTTTGTTTACACATGGAGAATTTTTTCAACATTTTAAAAAATATATTTTCATATTCTTATTAAATTCTCAATTGACTAATTACTATATATTCTTTGTAATACAATTTTTATGATTATGTTTATATATATCACAACTTGAATATCAACAAAACTAAATGGAACTTAATAATTTTAAACTCTTATTATTTATTATTTTTAAAGTATTATATTTAAGTTCATCTAAGAGAATCCCGCCTGTATTTCGAAATTTACGCATCTAGATGTACTTGTATAAATGCCAATTTAATTTAAATGCCAATGGTAATTGATGAACGCCGGTTCGCATGAGTAAGAGCTGTCTCAGATCGGTTCCAGATCGGAATGTTTCAAGTTTCTTAAATGCTATATAAAATTTAAGATACTTACGATATGTTTGCAATATGTGTTCGGCGGTCACTCTGCCGTGCGAATTGATGTGCAGCGCCCGTTCGTTGTGTTCCTTCAATTGTAAAACATAGCGTTTTTCCGCGGCGCATGTTGGCATCGCAAGAGCAACCACAACAATCTGCAAAACAAAGGAGGAGAGAAAAGATAACCTCGATTAATGGGCGATTCATCTGCATTACAGCCACATCTGGCGACTAATCCTGCCCAACGGAACCCTTTTTTGCCCCATAAATTTCCATTAATACGATGAGCTTTTTATTACTTCGCCCCGCAGATGCGACACGAAAATGTTTATGGTCAAAGTTGAGCCCACTGGCCAACTGGCCATTAGGCGTGTTATGGTAGTCCAGGTAATTGGTTTCTCAATGGGATATGTTGCCCTAAGCTTTGACATTCTGCAAATAGTCGGTAGGATGGTCCGTTCCCATGCATTTAAATTGGAAGAGCAAGTTGTCCTATTACTGAATTTAATTGCTTGAGAAGTGCAAGAATTTTTGTTGGAATTCTGGAGAGGATTAAAGGTATTACTAGATTGTTTTTCTTTTAGAAAAGGTATAGAAATCTCTAGTAAAAGTTTTTGCAATATAAAATTATGAGGTTAAAGATTGGCAACATAAAATATATTTAATTATCTAAAAATCTAATGTCAATCCCCTGTGAAAAATCCAAATTCTATAATTATATTTCACCACCTGACACGTGTATGTCTCATGTCTATAATTTACGGCACGTTTTCGACCTTTTCGACTCACTACTCAAATGATATCACTGTTATTCTTTGATAATATAAAAAATGCAAATCAGCAAAACAAGCGATTGGGTCAGACAAATGACATATATATAATCGAGTATTTATCGAGGCTTAGATGGGACCAGCCTCATACATCATTTTGTTCAATAATGTGCATGAGGGCTATTCACCACACGGCACCACCTACTGCCAGTAAGCATATTAGCTATTTATGGCGAAATGGGAATGTCCAAAAATAACGCTGGACTTTAGCAGAAGACTTAATAGGGCTTTTCGGTGGGTAAGCGATGGGTTTTGGATGCAAGCCAAAACAAATTGACCTAAGCTCCGAGATCGACGCGTGCCGATCGATTTAGCGAGGCTTAACCAATCGATTCGATTTCCCCAACCCATAAACATTTCTCACATTTTCCAACTTCGACGTTGACGTTGACACAATGTCAGTTTTCCAGATAAATAAATGAAGTATGGAAGTAAGGCCTTCTGTTTGCACTTCTCAAAAAAAAAAAAAAATCCAAAAAAAATAGAGAATGCCGTGCGACCTTTTTCATAGTTCAATGACGTTCCACCAGCGTGTATGTGTAACAATCATAATCATAATAATAATTATTATTATTTTTTATGGGCCGCCTCAAGTGGAGAGACCCCACAAAACGGAGAGCCACTCCAATGTACACACGCTTCCCATATCAAAACTCCGAATTGCTTCGGCCCCCCCACTCTAATTTCGATTACACACACTCAATCTCTCGAACGTATAAAAATATTTTGACATTTCTCAAGATAATTATTCAGAGTGTGTTGAAAACAAGGCAGCTTTCGATCGAGATTGTAGATTTCCAGATGCTTTTTGCCCAGCCAAAACCCGAAAAGTGGAGCAAGGCTTTGGCCTAAGTATTCTTGGGAAATAGTAAATTATTCTAGTTCGGTGGAATCCCCCAAAACAAATTACTCACAAAAATAATAGCCCATAAATCTGAGAAATTTAACAATTACGTTGGTCGTAAATATGTACAGTGGGACAAAAACTCACCATCAGTATAAAATAAGTCCTGACATTGGGCAGCGTGAACTGTAGTAACCTGCAAGTAGGCAAAAAATAAACGAAATGAGTGTTCAGTATTCAATAGTATTCAATTCACAACAAAATTACGCTAGCCACTATAAATAAAGAGTTGAGTGTGATTCAAAGGAGAAACATTTGCATAAATCTTACAGATTATTATTAATGATTATTATTGGTTTTATTGATTTGTTTTCAACTTTATTCGTCTCGTTTCGTTTTGTTTTCCGAGATGAACTTCCGTCTTAAACAACAATTAAGTCATTTTACTGCCGATCGTGAGATCTTTAAACAAAAATGTATTTAAATAAAAAATACGAAACGTATCCATCGGATTTTCATGGAGAGCCCTTACAGTGGCTCTGGGCTCAATGTCACCCCGTCACAAGTGACCACAAGTGGCCACTCGGAAAACGCCAGAGAAAAATGTATTTTTTCTTTATTTTTTCCTTTTATTATATCGATTCAGCGGAACAAGTCTTGCCATATTTTGTTGTACTTTCCGCACTGCATATTCTGTTTCACGACCAACTAATCCCCGGGCCCAAAAGGTCATTGATTTCAGCTTAGCACTGAACTGAACTGAACTACAAACGACAAAAAAAAAACAAAAAGCCAGCGAACAAGAACAGAACTCAAGACCCAGAAGGGTAGTTTCTTAAGACGAAGGTCTTTTCTGTTCGACGCTTGAAAAGTGAAAACGCAAAGAATCAAGCTCGAGAAATCAATATGCAGCGACCGAGAGTCAAAAGTTAAAACAGCCCCAGGAGGAGGTGATTTTGCAGGGCCTTTGGTCCCGGATTCGAATCCGTAACCCTCTCAGTGGGCAGTCCCAAAACGAGAATACAACTCAGGCCAAATCAAATGCCTGGTGGCGTGCGATTTTTATCATTTTTCAATTTCACAGCAGACAATAAAGTTCATTTGAAATGTGCAAACACACACGGGCATTCTAAATGAAATTTCACAATGCCTGCCGAAGAAACAACATTTCTTCAAACGCTTTTATTATTTTTTATTTTTGTTTTTGTGTACAAGCATTTGCCTTGGCTAGCAATTATATCGACTTGAAGCTTTTACGATTTATGCTTAGCTGGCGTTCTCAGTAGTAAATTATGGCAGGGAAGCTACTGCTGACTGATCAATAAGAGTAGCTTACAAAATTTCAGTTACCTAAGGTAGTTAGACAAAAAGAAAAGCCTTTTTTGTGGGCTGGCAACCGCACACAAAAACACCGAAATTGAAATTGAAACCGAAACTTCAAAAGTTCGGGAGTTCTCTAAAACCAGACAAAAGGCCGAACGCATGACCCGCGTTTTTACAGGCAGAAAAAAAATTAAACTAATTTAAATAATGATTATTGAAATGAGTTGCTAACAATAATACAAATTGTATACATGAATTTGGGTTGCTAGGTTTGAAATAACCAAGAGTTATGACTTTGTTGGACTTTGGAGTTTGATTTTGATTGGCATTTAAGTGTTATTTATAAAATAATTTGTTGTTAACATTTTCGTTCATTTTACGATTAATGAAATTGTATTGTATACTTAGTGAGTTAAGGTTAATTTAAAGAGATTTAAAAGTTTGAATTTTCCTTATTTATTAAGAAAGATGCTCTAATTTGTGTATTGTATTCTGGCCAACTAAAAGGATTATTTTTCGCTGTGCACGAGCGGTTCCCATGTATGTAACTCGATATCACTTCTATGGCCAGTCGCCTCTGTCTGTGCTTTACTTTTGTTCGCTTCTGCGACTCATAATTACCTTATTTGGTATGCAGACAGGAGCTCAGAACGGAGCCACAAGGGTCTCTGCCAAGTCCCCAGTTTCCTTGGTCTGGCTTACGCAATGTTGTAGGGCCCCAAAATGTGCCCTGAATACTGAATAGCCATAGTTTTGGATTGAGAAGTTTTCCTTTTGCTACGTGCTCACATTTTTTGGTTTGGGTTTGGAATAGGGATAGGGACCACCCGAACGAGAAAGCTTTCATTCACAAAAAAAAAAAAAATTAAACAGTGGAACCTCCTTTCGTAATATCTACGTCACAGTGACCGCATTTGAAATGTGCAATCTAATCGCTGGCGACATTTTCAGGCCTTTAATTAGTTTGTCCACTCGATTGTGCTCCCCCCTCGGCCAATACACATAAATCTGGAAATTAAAATTAAAATTAAACAACCAAGTGTTTCGCGGCGATCGCATCGATCGATAATATGCTAAGCACCGGGTCTTTTCAATTCGATTGGAATCGAAATGCAAACTAGTTTGGGCCTCGAATCTCCTCTCGACTCTCGAGTCTCGAGAACGAGGCACGTGTTGGCATCTGGACTTTAACACTTTAACACTTTAATACCTAAGCACTTGTTGCTTCCAACTCGCACACTGCTCTAACATAATTGTACCCCGTGCTTCGTATATACATGGATATATATATATTTAAACAAAATAAATATGGCATCTGTGGAATGTGCAGCCGATTAGATTAGGCCGCAATGTATTTGGACACAAAAATGAATTGGCAGAAAGATTTGCCCAAGATAGGCCGCAAAGAAAGTGATAGCATTGAACTTTGATTGCGGGCACGTGTGCTTGTGGTGTTGGTAATCCATCATGTAATTAAGGTCCTGTAACTGCCCGATTTTCCCTGTCAACAGCCACGTGTTCTGGTGTGAAATTTTATGCTGTCAATTGTGCGTGTGATTCTGATTGTGATTGTAATGATGATGATGACGATGGTTATGGTTACGGCCACCCTATACATTCTGTTTTTTATGTACAATTTTTTTCTTTGGTTTTTTTTTTTTGGCCTACCCGGCTGCACTTAATGCAATTTTTTCCTTTTGTTTTAAGGGATGGCTTGCAGCAGGGAACTGGCCTGGCTGTTACTTAATACTCTTACATCATCCACCTTGCGCTTTTCGCCGAGCCGAGCAACCCTAAGCCTCATCCCTCGGAAAAACCCCTCAGAACCCCTCGAAATCCACCGATATTCTCCGGCTGCAATTGCAACTTTTTACGTGTGTTTGCTCTGTCCCGACTTAATGAAGTTCCAACTGAAAAAGGGATGGATACACACCATACTACCATCGGTACTACCATACTACCATACTCCCATACTATATGTACACAAGTACTCAACTGACTTTGACAGTTGCCAGTTTGGTGTGTTGCCATTGTTTTTGCAGCAGGGCGCCGAGCTGGTGTGCATTATATGAAAATATTTGTATAATGTGCACAGCAGCGACTGCAATTGCAACTGCAACAGGCAGTGGGAGTTGGGATTGGATTCGGATTCGGATTGGGAATGTGAAGTATGCATTTCAATGCGACTCGAGACGTAGAACAATATGCAAATCCGATCAAGAGTCGCCAAGAGTTGGGGTGGATAATAACAATAATAATAAGTTAGGCAGAAAATGTCACATGTTACAGAAAAACAATACTAGATATTCAAAGTATTTTAAACATGTTAAGGAAAACCAATTACTTACACTTTTAACTTTGTTGTTATAAGACTTATCATTAACTATACATTACAATTTAAAATATTTATATAAATCTTTACTAAATTTGCCACATTGTAAGTAATTTTCTGTACATTTTCTTGGCCAATTTCCCAGCTACTTTAATTAAAAGTAATGACTTAAGATGCCTCTTTGGCAAGCCAAAAGCTTTGCATACTTTTGGCATCGCTGGGGCTTGTCTTTTTTTTCCCTCTCGGCCCGAAACCTCTTGAACTTGTAGCCGCCAAAGCAACGCCCCAAATAAAATAGAATAGGGAGCACCACCACCAACACCACAATGCGGCAACTGGGAATGGGAATCCGTGAGAGTTCAGTGTACCCCAGCGATAAGCTAATGTTGTTTTCAGACTGTTTCAGTAGATATATATAGTAGAACGAACGAATCATTTGATGTCAAGGCTGCGGGGGAGATGGCAGAAATACTGGAATGCTGAAAATGTTGACGTGCCGCCACACAAAATTCGCCTCATTAACAAGCCGCCCTTCTCACCTTTAAGTGCACTGGCACAAATTTTCTTAAGTTGAGCAATCATTTTATTAATATTAAAATAATAATTTAAAAAGTTTGCCAATAAGATTCAGAAGATATCTTTACTTTGTGTTATGCATTTGAACGAAGTGGCTTTAAGATATAGATATATTAGATCGTTATATGATTTTTAATAGATTCTTCTTACTAACCATTAATTCTAACAGCATACGATTTATTGATCACAATAAATAGTGTATATTTTTTTGCTCTGTATGGCCACCCCCTTTTTTCCCAGTTCCACTATAATTCCTCCATATAGAGGGGTTGTATCTAATGCGATTTTCGCCGCCGGGACAGCTGCACCGACGGAGGTGATAAGCGGCTTTCGGCGCTGCTCTCAGCCCTTTTGATAAGTCCGGGCTACTTAAGTGGCAGCGAATATACTTTGTTAAGCATTCAGCAACTTTCCCAAAGTGTCAACAGCGCCCCAGACAGTGCGAAAGAGACGGGACTAGGGCTGCAGAGGGAGACGGACGATGGCGACGAAATCGATGAGAAGACGATGGCGAGTTTAAGGCAAACATGGCAAGTGCATCCATTGAATTTGTCTAGGGACTGTGTGTGTGCGGGCTACTCAAATATGACACCTTTTTTTCTGGAAGTAAATAATAATTGCCTTGCACCTGAAACTGTGGGGAAAACGCGTGTTTCGGTTTCCATTCCGGCTAAATTGCCGGCTTAAATGGCTAAGAAAATACATTTGATATGACTGCGAAGGGAATCGCGATCAATATATATGTATATATCGAAATCGGGCGCCTTATCAAGCTTTATGGTGGTTCCATCAAAGCCAGTTTTACATTACTGTAAATATCTGATAACCGACGATAGTCGGCTGTCAATAAATCACCTAGACAATATATTCGAAAAGATAAATCAATCGCTAAGCTGATTAGTGTTTGGAGATTCAAAGAAACTCCTCTCGGCGAATATACAAAACTTTCTAATTCATCAAAATCTCCCATCGATGCGTTTTATCTTTGATGATTTTTCCAATTTTTTCTTGGGACCTCTAAAAGTGGGTGTGTTTGTGGTGTGTTTTCGTTTTTTTTTTTTTTTCTTTTACGAAACACTATGCCAACAATGACAACACCAATAAAAGCAACCAGCATTGTGGGTCAGGTGCAACGACAATCGTGTGCAGCCGTAATGCCCAATGCAAATATTTGGCAGAAATTGAACAATTAATCAGCCTTTAAAGAAAGCGAACTCATTGCCGTGGAAAACTTCATCGAGTTGTAAAAACCCTCACAAAGCGTAGTAAAATGTCATAGAGCCCTTCGAGGGAATGGGGGTGTTGGGGTGTTGGGGTGTTGGGGTGTTGGGGTGTTGGTATTTTCCGATAGGGTTTTTTAGTGCCATGCGAAAAGCAAAACAAACTATAAACACTTGACGGCCGCATGGTTCTTTTTTGGCGCATTGTTATTATTTTGTACATATATGTATGTGTATATATAAAGATATAGACCAGTGTAGCGTAGTACGCCGTGGCGTATATTTTGAACGTGTTCTTCGCTGATAAGATAGTGACGAACTCGTTATACTTCTTTCAACTGGGGAGAACTAGCCCGTCGGCTCAGATCAGGGGTTTATTGGGGCTGGCTTGGCCAGATCTTGGCCACTTAGTCACTGGCATTGAGCCGGCCATAAAGGCATAAAACCATATCGACCGAAAATCGATTGCAAATCGAGGATCGCCAAAAGTCAATCGAGATAAAGATCGAGCTTATCAAACCGAAAACTCCACTCCTTATTAGGATTAACCCGCCATAATCCAGACAGATTTGAATCGAAAAGTGTGCCTCAACCGAATTTCTAACGCTGTAAAGTGATAATAATAAACAAATTCAGACGCGACTTTTTGACGTGTTTGCCGCCGGCTTTTTTTTTTTTTGTTATTTATAAACCCCTGATCCCAGCTGCCAATGTGACTAATCGTTTTAAATACTCTATAAGCTCTACATCATCATCATTGTTATCTCTATAGAATTGCAGGGCACTGAGGAACGTGCCTTTTGGAGTCGTTTCCTAATACTGACTTCTGAATTTCGGACTGTGGCGTCATATGTTTGGGGACCCAATTATTTAAGCCACTTTTTTGCAACTCACTTTTTGTGTACACACAGCTTTTCTCATCCGCCCGTAACCTAATTATAAACTTGGATGTGACATTTTTTTCATTTAGCGGCTTTAGACGCCACCAAACTTTTGTTGGCCTGTTAATATTCTCAAACTTTTGTACATTTTACATGAACGTACTCTGAACCCATACGAGTAAACCAGGAAACCGACACGTTTATTGATAATTCAATATTTTGAATACTAATTAACATAATTCTAGGAAATATACTAAAGACCATTTACATATATATATTCAATGAACTTGTTGATGCTCCGACAAGTCATGCAAAGAATTAAGTGCAGTTTAGTTGGCCAAGGTTGATTGGGGTTTCATTAACGGTAATAAATGAGGCAAGCTTCGGTTTCTGGGTTCCTCGATTGCATTAATCAAAGCTGCACAAAAATATGTGCCAAGTCACATATGTATTTATGATGTTTTGGCATTTGAGCTCGTGCCTCTGGCCAAATCATAAATCTCAATAAAACACTCGAGGCTCTAGATTAATGTGTGCGTATTTCGAGGGGTTCCATTCCGGAGATCTTCTCCTAATGGATCTTTTGTTGGCCCTAGAAAATATCTGGTCGGTGCGTGCTTATCAATCGATTTTAGACCAAGCCCATGAGCTCTGTTCTTGGGTGTTATCTGAACGTATTTCCGTTTAATTAATAAAAGACGCGAACAAATTCGAATTATCAAATCAAATATTGTCTATTTTTACAGGAAAACGCGTTTGGCTCTTATCGTCTCTTTGGAAATATTTTTGATGGGGCGTGGCATTGTTTGTCATGTGAATTGTTGAACTTGTTTATGATTCGTAAATCGGATGGAGACGGGACTTTGATTGAGATTAGGCAAAATTATTCAGAATTAGTTGGATTCAAAGGTATTAAAATCATTTAGTTTCTTATGCGAGTTTCGCAAGCGATTTTTAACCGAGGGTTGGCGCGTTTGCAATTGATTTATAACTCAGGTAAATGTCCTGAGATCAGAACACGCCACAAACCCTCGAAAGTTTTTCGAAAAAGGGGTTGTGCACACACAGGAGCACGAATGAATACACACAAGCTGATTTATCCTGACAGTTTGCATGTGTTGGTGCCATAACAAGTTATAAACGGCAATTATGGACCTGAACCTGAACCTGAAACAGAAACTGAAACACAAACTGAAACTGAAACTCGGACTCGGACTTCAGACTCAGACGGAACTTGGTCTTTGGGCACATTTCATATTTCTTGTTTCGAACATATAATTGTGCTTTTTATGTGTGTTTGGAAATTGTTTTTTAAGTGAAATTGCGTTGCGCCTGATAAACAGCCCTCCATTTATTATATATATTATTTTTATAGTTGCGTCTGTGTTTGTGTGGGAATTGTGCGAAAAGTAAAAGGGAGCGAAGAACACAGGTCATGGTATTTGCGGATTATTCCTTTGATTGCGTATGGTTTGCCTTCGGTTTTGGGTTCGGGATGTGGCGGTAACCACTCTCTTCCCTTTTCACGTGGTTTAAGGATTTGCAATATTCAGTTTGAAATAAATCGAAGTATTCAATAACTGTTTTGAAATCATAGACTTGTTTGAAATATTTAACAGTATGTAAAGGAATAATAAGTTTTAATGCTTTATCCCTACACCTTTTAAATTCTTAGAACTCTCAATTAAAAAATGACAAGTTTAGTTTTCCCTGAAACAATAAGCCTTGATATGAACTATAAAAATGACTTGATCATTTTAGTTTTCCCCTAAAAACCGATGAGGCTCAATTTTCATGAAGCGATTTATTTTTCGCTGGGAATTTTTATTAATTTATCATTCCTATAAAAAATTTCCGGAGAAAACTCGTAAAAATTTATAAAGGACCAGCCCCAAAATGGTATGCGATTATCGAACATTTCTGGCTTTTTGAGAATTTAAGTTTTATCATTATGATGAATAACCCATGAAATTGAGTCACGCTAAATATTAGTTTCAAAACTTACATCGTATACTTCTGGCCGCATTGTAGCCCCCAAATTTAAGGGTGTAAATTATAATCCAACATGGGTTTGTGCGTAGTATCGTCGGGAGTCTATCATTTGACTGACGAAAGAGTTTTAATTTTCTGCTGAGCTTGGTGAACACGAGTCCAAGCGGAAATTCAGAAATTCAGAAATCACAATTCGTATAAACTCGATTATGCATATGGATGTTTACGGCAAGTCTGAATCTGATACTTCGTGGCAGAAAAGCAGCGTCAACAAATTTACAACTACACCGCAAAAAAATGCAATTAAATCCGGTCGTGTAGCTTGGTTTTCTGTTTATTTTATTTTGTATTTCTTGCAATTTGTATTTTGTCAACCGCACTCTATGTTATGTACTTGCAATATTTCGCCTTGACTTGCGTATTTAATTACTTTTGATTAACAATATGTAATTTGTTGTAATTAATATATTATAATCGGCTGTATATACTTAAATATTGCACTTTTGTCAGCAGCGATGCAACGACGACGACACGATATTTAGTTATATTTTTTATTCGAATATATATTTTGTGTATTTTTGCGTTGCACAAAATTTTTATTTATTTTGCTGGAACTTTTTTTTGTTTGCACTGGCACTACTGGGGCACTCGAAAATTTATTTCGCCTGTGTTTTTTTAACTGGTTTTGGGGTGTGCGATTTTTAAAACAAAATCAGTAGTATCTCTGTGTAGCCGCAATGCACTTTTCACCTCTGGCTAATTAATCGAATTAATCAGGCTCATTTGAATCGGTTGCTTTAGTGGTTTTGGGTTGAGGCTTGGAATTTTTCAAAAATATTTTCCAAGTCATTTGTTGCTGGGTATTGGCTTTGGTTATCCGTTGGTTTCGCTAGCGACGATCTACAGCCGACGAAAGGTGAAAAGAAACTGAATCTGAGTCCGAGAGTCGTCGAACATAACATCGAGCGATAGCGTAACAGAGCCGAGTTCCACTTAACAGAGCGAACTCTGTTCGAACGCTGCACACTGGTAAAAAATCTGGCATTTCTTTAACTGTACAGGTAGAAAGCTGAATTAAAGCCGATTATTTTCATAAAAAATTACTCTTATCAGCAAACCAAAAATAAAATTTTTTGGATTTTTAAAAGATACAGTTACCTCCAACTAAAATAAAAAAATATTTTTAATTTTGACACATTTCATTTCTAGAAAAACAAAATAGGTAACGGATTCAGTTCATTTTAACACACATTAAAGTACAATTTACAGCAAATCAAAAATAATGTAAAGCACTAAAAAATACAAAGTGGATTAAGATTAATCAACTTTTAAAAATGCCATCTTTTGGTGCCCGACTTGCCAATATTAGTAAAATAATCGACCGAACTTAAATGTTTTTTTATTTTTTCTTTGCATCTGCATTATCAAATGTTTTTTTAAAACGGACTTTTGGCCAAAACTCGGACCCGCTAGCCCAGTGTGCGCTGTTAGCTAAAGTACTTATCGAACCGCCCCCGCCTCTCCCCCCGCCACCACACACCCCGCTCATTTACAGTTTGTCGCTATAAATTCTTGGAGTCGCAGACATGTCCATGTGTCCATGTGGGTGATAGATGATATAGTAGATGGTGCGGCGGAAAGGAAAGGCTGGTCCGGAATTCCTCAACCGCTTTTAATTCCTTGCCGATCGCGTTCGGTTTTCAGATATAGCCATTTTTAAATGGGATAACTATATTTTTTATCTAATTCGATTATATATCTCCATTATACCAGCATATACATATTTTTACTTATTTTTTATTATTTTTGTATATATTATTTTTTAAAAATTTGTATGATTTCAAATATTTGTTTTATATTTTAGAGTTTTCAAAACAAACATTTCAAAAATGCAAATTGTTAGTTTTTAAAAAAATACTTATCATTCAGTTAGCTTACAATTTGACATTGTTATATAAACTTAAACTTCAATTGATCTTGACCAGAATTACTTCAAAGCAGTGGCAAAAATAGTTTTGCCTTTGAAATTCTTCAGCCGTTAGGACCATTAACTAAGCCCACTTAACTTCAGAGAACATAAATAAGGAGACCGACAAGTTTGCGTCTGTCATTCCTTGAAATGCTTGCTCCATTTGGGACAACTAGGTCTCCCGGTCAGATAATGATCTCTAGGTGGCGTCCACCTGCTCCACTTTATAAAAAGAAAAAAAAACTAGTCACCCACCCAATTTCGAATGCCGAATTCCGAATGCGCCAGGAAAACGCCAGACGTTATTGGGCAAGGTCCAGTTGGCGAGCCATTAGCAAAGTTGCCCCTGCATTTTGATATTGATCGATTAGCCAGCCAGTTGTATCAGGCAGTTTTATTGATCATGCTGTAAATCAAATTGTGTGTGTTGGCAACGACCGACCCAGAAACAAAGCACAAATCGTACTGAGATTAAATTAAGCAATATTTATTTCGGTCACTGAAAGGAGAAATTACAAAGACCTAAGTTACATTAGGATCATTGGGGGATGGTTTAATATGTCAGTTTCATCATGATCTGAAAGAGATAAACCCCAAAAACCTTATCGAAGAAGTTTCCAGAAAACTTTTAGCAACATTTTTTTGATTAGTTATCAGCTTATACAAAGATTAAACATAAGAGGGTGATCAATGTGGACTAATAAGTGTTCATCACTTGGTTATTAATAACTACGTCAGCATCCCCATGATCTGTCACAGAATAACCCCAGAGAACCGACACTATCAAAGGGGAACTTCCCCCGAAAACGAGAACAACAACCCGTGTGGACTTTGCTCATGTTTCAATTTCCAATTAACTCGTTACCTAGATAACTGCACAAGTTTTGTGATAGGTTCAATTAGAGCACTACCCTCATGAGAAGAGATCTGGCCATGAATGAAGTAAGACTGCTCCGAAAAAATCCGGTAGCATTGCTCCCATGTTATCAGAAATACCAACGTGACAGCTATTTTGCTTACGTCTTCTAAGTTATGCCTTTCAAATATGACGCATAATTGGGGGCGAAATTTGAGTGTCTTAGAATTCCGATGACATGTGAGGGTAATGATGAAATTGCAGAATAATCGAAACGGATCGCTCTAATTGTTTATCACATAGTCTTTTCGGCTTATATGCGTCCATAAAGCTGATGAAATTGATAAAGAAAACCTGCCGTGCTTTTTACATCCAATAAAGTCGTTGAAAAGTCAGTTGACTCGAATTTTATGAGAAATTTTAAATTTTCAACAACATTTAACAGTTCAAACTTGTTGTGGCTGCAGCATGTTGCATGCTCTGCTAGTCAAGCTGCGTTTGGAAGATAACAGAGCTCTGTTTTTCGGCAAGCAGTGCGTTTTCTAACAAGGATAAGCAGTGCGCGTCTAAGCCAGCTGTTAATTGGGGTTTTTCTAACATTACGGTTCGTGTCGAACCTCCAACATGTTGTAAGACGTTAGTTTAAGGGTGATTTTGAGAATGATTTATAAATTACATTTATTTTATAAATGCTTTGCATAAATTCAATTTAAAAAATAAATTAAAATAAAAATTAATCAAAACTAAAGTAAGTTTTTTATTGTAATATAAATTAATTGCTTAATATAAACATAATAAATTCCTTAACTTTCTGTAAATTAAAATTACATCTTTTTTATAAAGCATTAACCAACATTGCACCATCCACTTCAAAAAATTGTGCAAAATTTTAATAAAGATATATGAGACAGTTTTGCGATTTGCGAAACAGTGAAAATAACACAAGAAAAGCAAATTAGCAACTGATAATGACATTGATAAATTAATTATATCAATTAATTTGATGCGAAATTCCAGGCGTCAGTCTCAAGAGGCCAGGGAAATTAAAAGGCAGGCTAATTGATAAGCAGCGAAGCGTGCATAAAAGTACTTGAACTAATTTTCGTCATTTTAGGTACATTTTTTTGGCTGGTCAAGGTAAGTCATTCCGCCCAGATTCTGTTTATAAAATAAAATTTAATTTCAACCACACAGAGATTTCCAAGTAGCCATAACTGCATAATCACAGATAGGATTCTTATTATGCCACTGCGGTCCTTATATTATTTCACTTCTTTGGCCAACACAGCGGGACATAAAAGGCAGTGGAATTTACACTGGCGCCATGTCGCGTCACATTGAAAAAATGGCAAACGAGAAAAATGTGTGAAATCTTCACGACTGCGGAAAACAAAGAAAACGAATTCAAATATTTATGAGGATGTCAGGTGTCCTGACAAGTCAATTTTAGGTTTTAGGTATTTTTCCTCTGGGTTTTCCAAGCAAAACGCAGCTACTCTGATTTATGAGTCTGTGGGTGTCCTTCCGAGACGAGCTTGTCATATCTGATGAAAATGTGTCACACTCACGACCGAGCGATACTTTTCCCCTTTTGGGGTCTAAGCCCCATTCGAGCTCAGTGAAAATAAAAACCCTGAGAAATATTTTAATTAAAATTCACTGCCCCGAAAAGAAGAGAAGAAACGAAACTAACAAAACCGCAGGCAGACAGGATAAACCAAAACCTAAAGCCGAACCACCGCCGCCTGATCTCAACTGATAAAAGTGAAAAAACCAACAACAAGAGCCTCGTAAGGTAAAATAAAGCCAACGGTGGGCGTTGGTAAAAAACGATCTGCAAAAACATAAGTAAAGCACAAAAGGAGGCAAATGCGAAATATGTGGGTCTGAAATATGACAAAATTGAATGCGCTTTAAAAATGTATAGAATTGTGTTGAACTCAACATGAGTTAATTTTTGAGTATATTTAAAAGTACCAAAGGTAACAAATTTAGTTTTTTCCCCAAACCCTTACAAACCTCTTAAGCAAAAAAGTAGGTGTTCGAAAATTTGTATTTATTAAATATTAATATTTTTGTTAAAAAACTTTCCATCGGTATTTAAAAGGTTTTTATATTATTTAAAAAAAAAAAAAAAATTTTACATCAGTTAAATGAAAATCGATCTATTTTTGTCTTGTTAATATGACAAGGTATGGAAACTTTAAGGAGATTTTATTCTTAATTTGATATTTAATTTTCGATGTATTAAATTGACCTCATTGCATTGCAAAGAAAAGTTAAGAACATGAATAAACATTTTCTATACAAATGTAATTGTCACCATTTTTTTAATATTAGCTTTAGAGATTATTTCCAGACAATTTAAATATTCTCTAAAATGATTCTACAATTTCGAGAAGCCCCCAAACTTTTTAAGGGTATTAAAAGCGCAGCAATCTACGTTTTCCAGGGAACTGTAAGCGATTGTCTCTGGACGTGAAGTGGTGCAGAGTTAACCTTTCAACGCCGATGGTGTTGCTGATGGGCTAAGGTTGCTGGACATTGCAGCTCCGCAGGATCACACATGATCAATCGATGGAACTCTCTTTCGAGGCCCCGAGGGTCCCCCAATTTACCGCTCCTCATATCGCACGCATCTCCTTTATTGTCTCCGGTTTTGTTTGCTTTCGTCTGCAGCAAATTCAATTAAACCCACAATGCGCAATGAATTTTTGTTGCTTTCGGTTTTTGGTTTTCGGTATGGGAACCCTTTTTAATTACCGAAGAAGGGGCACCCGTATTTTGTCTTTTTTGTAACTGACCAACTGTCGAATCGAATTGGTCACTAACAAGAGTTTTTGTTAATGAAAATGTTGGCAACCCCCTTTTTCTACAAATTTTCACTCACCCCAGAGCTCATTTTCCCCTAATTTATGCGTTGGGCATCATTGGGTTTTTATTTAAAGTGAAAGTGATCGGAACTTCTGTTAACATTAACGCGTGGCTGACTTCCGATCGATCTTGTCAAGGGGGTTGAATGGAAACATAAGATCTTAGATCCTTAATTCCGATCAAAACTGCTTCGCAAATGCTTACAAATAAA